ACATCACAAATCATCCTTTAACTTTTTTTTTTTTTTTTTTTTTTTTTCCTCTGACATCATTTCCACTAAGCAGAAAACCACAAGGGTAATTTTTATATTACTTTATAAGTATATGTTTTTCAAACTTCTTGAAAATATCTTAACATGGCATATGCCTAGGACCATTATCAAAAGTCAACTTCTTATGTGCTGTCATTGTAATGGATGTTATCACTTGAGCTCTAATTGGTCTGTACAATTTTTCAAAATCATGGTTTATGATACATTTACATCATCTAATACATGTACTTGTTACTTTTGTTATATTATAATCAATGTTCCTGTACTTTTCTAAGTCTCACAAAAAACATTAAAAAAGGTATTTCTGCTTCTGACTCAACTTTTTAATTTGATTGACACTGATTTGCTATAATGCAAAAACAAAACACACAAAATGCAATCTTATACTCTATTCCATCTGAGCATATTGTTGACTTTGCTTGTATTATTTAAAATCATCCTTTTCTACTTCTGAAAAAATAGATGTAAAAGGTACAGTTATAATCTGAACAAAAGGTGGGTATATAAACTGTGTGCATCTCCATAATTCTTCTGTTAGAAGAATTTTATATTTGTTCAAAAAAATCTCAATCCCTTTACACATATTCTAATTACCTCTGTAAAGTTATCAACACTGATTATTTATGAGTTATCTGTACTCTGCACTGCCTCCACATAAATGGAGTGTGTGATGTTTTGGTTTTTTGGTTTCTTTTTTGTTTTGTTTTGTTTTGCCTGGAAACAGGCTTGTGATAGAATTTTGCTCCTGAGAAGATTGGAACTTGATTCTTAATAACTTTTAATAGCGTTGTGCTGAATATCAAGAGTTATCTCCAAGCAACCATTTCAGTAACATTAATCCTATCAATATCTCAAAATGCATTGTATAAATTAAGTGCATGGTATAAGTATCAAAACTAAGGGAATTAAAGCACTGTCTATAACTATTTAAAATTTACTATTTAGAAATATAAAAATATTTTTAATAAAAATAAATGTATTTAAAACTATAGTAATAATATTTCATTTACATACAGCTTAATCAAATGGTAATTTATGCCTTGTAGACCTAATCTGTTATAAATATTCATTATTTCAGTTCTTCTTACAAAAAACACAAACCAAATTTAATATTTTCTAATAGAAATTTAAGAAATAAGGTAACAGCATTTTGCATAGGCTAATATGGAAGAAAAAAGGCTGAAAATGGATTTCATTTGGGGATTTGCTTGGAATTTTTTTCTTTACTGCAAGAGTGTGAGTCAGGAGACCCAGTGGAGGCCTCAGTTACTGGCTGCTCATCTTCAAACACTGATCAGAATGACACAAGCCTCAGTCTGATCAGAACGGATTCAGCTGTAAGTATGAAGATCTTTTGTTTCAGCACAACCCTTTTAAAGAGTTGCAGCCAGAAATTGAGTAGTGTTTTATAAGTCTAGTCCCAGTGTTTTACATCTCTCACCTCTGGCATTAGCCTGTGCATTTGGATATCTACTATCCACTGAGGCATGTGGACTTCTTTGACTAGTCTCATAGATTTGCATAAAAATTAGAGAAAAAAAACTTATGGATACAAACAAGTGTTTTTTCTTCGCAGATTTCTTTTGAGAAACAACTTTTCAGGAGAAAATTTTTCACATTTGATTCAAGTAGATGTTCTTTAGATCTAAGCAGCTGAAGAAAAGTAAATTCCAAAGTTTCCTGCCCTTTACTCTCTATTCCAGAGATGATGTACTTTGGTAACAACTCTACAGTAGGAAATGGCAATTTTTTTTATTTTTTTTTTTTAAGATTATCTTCCCTATTATATTTCTCCCACAACGACTAGATGGAGTTATCATCCAGCTTACCTTAACTTTTAAGTCACTGACCTACTGCTATTCCTTGTTAGCACTTCTTAGTAGTTTTAGTTCAAATGGAAAACAAACAGCAGGAGGAAAGAAAATATTACTACAGGTTTTTTTTTTTCTTATAATGAAAAAGAAAGGAGATTGAGACCACAAGAATTAACAACCACAGTGCCTAAATCACCACAGTATCCAAACACAAATATCAAAGTATGACGCAGTCCTTTAAAAATGCAGAATTTTATCTGCTAAATTTTATCTGCTAAAACTTAACCATTAGGAATGAACCATTGGAGTTTATCTTTTAAGAAAGTTGAGATTACTTCTTTTGGATATAGAATGACTAATGAAATGCAAGTATTAAGATAGATTTTGTTACCAGACTAATGTTATTGGGGAAAAAAAGTGTGAAAAGACATTTAGTATGATGTGCCAGCTGAAGAGAGAAAAATTGTCAGCAAGAAAGATAAAAGTGCATGTGATATGCATTTTTGTAATTAAATAAGAGATGTCGGAACATCTGAGTTTAATGATAAAGTGAAAAATTGACAGCTGCATTTGTAGTATGTATAAAATTAATTCAGCCAGGATAACATTGGAAATAAATTCTCTGAAGTCCAGGAACTAGTGGTGAGATTCATTTACTGGGAGCAGTAAATATTTCTAGAGCATACAAAGCAGTCCTCAAGTTCTGTTTATATTTAAATATGAACAAATTTACATGTGTAATTTTAAGTAAGGTTTGGTCTACCACAGAAGCAACAATATACCTAAATGACAAACAGTTTGCATATCTGAAAGAAAAATGGAAAAACAAATAATGTTTTGACTGTGTGAAAAAACAGGTAAAGTAGATTAACATCCATAAACATGTTTAAAAGTCAAACTATTTTAAATGTGAAAAACCAAAAAAAATCACGCATGCTATTAATGAGGAATTCTGATAGAGTAGATATATTTATGTGCAAGCAAACACCAATGCCAACTCATAGTAGGTGAAAACCAAACATTAACAGATTACAAGAAGAAAAAAAAATTGGTGGGTTTTATTTAAATCAGAGACTGGCATATAATTCTACAGAATATCCATGAGGGTTATACAAACTATTACAGCACTGAAAACTCCTCATGCCTGTCACAAGAAGATTGCTTGGTCGCAGAGAGGAAAGGTTACACAGAAGGCAAGGGACAGTAGGGATAATGATTACAGATCAAACAGGTCTATTTTGCACTGAACACAAAATAATAACCCAGAGCTTGACTTGAAAATGTGTCTGTCTCATTCAGTAATTAAAACTCTTAACATTCCAAGTCCACCAATAGTAGCAATATGCAGCAGCTGATAGAGTTAAGGGCAATGCAGATGTACCTTGTGGAAAGTACAACATTCTGTTGAAAGTAAATATAAATTTCATATGTATACAATATGAATCTTTCAGTAAACCATTCCTCTTTTCCTCCCACATGTATTGTTTTTACATGAGTCCTTCATACAGAAAAAAAAAATTCTGAAACAAACTGTACAGTAGAAAAATATCCTGCAGCAAAGCAGGAAAATTAGATGATGTATGAGCTAAACTAGTTAACATTTAACTTTTCAGTGTACAGGTACTGGAAGATAAACTCAGCACCAATGAAAATGAGAGGTTAGGTTTAAACAACTGTACTTATGTATATACACACACACACAGAGAGAAAAGTAGGGGACATGAATGTTCAGTACTGTAAGTTCAAGTTTGAGTTTATGTGAAAGAATATGGCACTCTGGAGCACACAACATTTGAAAGATAATGGAGCAGGGAAGATGATTATATTTAGTCAGATATAGCACCATGGCTAAAGAGGCTTAGTATCCAATGTTTCTGCATTAGAAATGCTTTTGTGAAGATTAACAACAACCAAATATTGATGAATAATCAGTAATAAGATTATATTAACTTGGATACAGGCTCACATGTACCAAGGGGAATACATTTGCATTGCTTGTATATACACAAATACACATATATATAATTGTATGTGTATGTTTGAAGTCTTCTATCTGAAGAACTGATCCATTCATCAAGGATTCCGAAATGACTGTCTCCTATATTATCCTTTGTCAGTCCTGTAGCATAAACCCTTGGTATCATTTTTGTTAACATTGTTGAAGCTTGGATGCCATGCAAATACCCTCTTTCTACTTACAAAGGGTGTAGACATTTTGTTTAATTTTATCATAACCAGGTGTTTAGAGAGGGCCGGCAGAAAAGTACTGGAAACTCTAGGAGTTAATTTATTCTGTCTCACTTGTTTGCTATCTTCCTACTCAATGTACTGTAATCTATGCATAAATTTATGTATTTATTTCCATGAAGAAAATCTTTTCTCTTAGAATCCTGTTAAAGCAAGTATCTTTTTATTTTAATCTTAATCCATCTTAATCCATCACATACTGGAGAATAACTGCGTGAATAGTTTTTGTTAAAAACATTAGAAGATACTCAGGAAAAAAAAAGGGGGGGGGGGAAAGAAAAAAAAAGTAGATTTCCTTCACTTGAAGACACACACAATGCACCTACTTCAAATGAAGGTTTATTTGAAGCAGCCTTGTAACAAGTGTTCATAAATTTAATTTCTCCTGTTATTTGGCCAACTCTCTGTTCTCTGATAAAGTTGTATTTTAACATTCATTATATTTGTTGCAGACAGAAGATAGATTGGGAGGTACTAGCTACATTATTCCCATTCTGTTGTTAACTAAATACAGGCATAAGTAAGCTTTAGATCTGATTTTCCTTCTCTCTGTATGCATGTACATACCCTTAAAGCAAAAAAAAAAAAAAAAAAAAAAAAACAAATGAAAAAACCCTCAAATTATCTCCAGAAAAAATTATCAGCTCTGTTTTATGAAAAAAAATATATGTTAATCACATTCATATAGAATTCCATTTTAAATTATAAGACTCTGATACAAGCTCACAACAGTAAAATTAGAGTAAATCCTCCCCATATAACAAATAAATATATTCTTTGGTTGTTCTGTGTTTAACATTTTACCAGTGTTCACCAGAATAAAAAAATTAGTCTTACGTGTCCATCTGTGTGCATGTATGTATATGTATATATATATATACATATATATATAATTACAGCAGCACTTCAGTAACTGCTTTAGAAAAAGCTAAAGTATTCGTAGCTAAGGATAGAGTAATTCTGAGGTGCAGAAGCCATTTTTATCACTGAAATTATCCTTAGTAAGCTCTGAGACAGTATGACTATAAATGAATAAGCTGACCTTCTGGTTCCAATAAGATGGACATTTCTCTGAGGTAAAGAACTGCCTTATAATTTAAAAGAAATCTGCAACATAGATTGATAAGAATATCCGTTTACTGTTCCCATTTTCTTTCACATGTTTCCTCCTCACAATTAAGAAATTATTGAATTGTGTTCTACCCATCATTATGCATACATCCTCTTACAGTGTTATAAGTAGTAGGTATGTCCCATTTTTCTTACGGGATAAAATATACTTTGTTCACACAGAAGCAAGTCTCAAAATCACTAAAGGGAGCAGTTTCACAAGCATTACCACATGCTTCACAGCTGACAGTAATTTAGCAAGAATGCCTCCAGCTCTTTAACTGTCTCATTTATAGCTATATCAAATACCAATAAAATTACTAAGAATGGCAGGTCTTCATTTAAAATTATAGCAGAAACAATACTCACACGATTGCCTTACTGTAATTTTTATTCACATAAATTTATGTTGTAGCATCTGTGTTATACAATACCACTGTCTCATTTGAAATTAGGTTCCACCTGGGCTGCTGATTCAATGAAGTCAGCTAGTGTATAATCAATAGGCGTATAGAGCTTAGGCTAAGCAAGACTATCATGGTGGAAAAATAATAAATGAAAAATGCTCACCAGTGTTGTAGGCTTACAGTAAACTCCACAAGGAGCAATCTCCAAAAAGAGATCCTTCCTCAGTGGCAGTCAGCACATAAATGGGATCTAGGACAGGTGGAGCCAGGCTCCACCCCTTCCAGTAGCACAAGTGAATTGCCTTCACCTGTGCTCCCACAGCTGACTCATTGTTTGCCTCAGGTGGTCAATCAGAGGTTCAGGCCATGATCAACAGTTCCCATATAGCCAGGCTCTTGCACGCTCTTTTGAAATTATCTTCATTCTTTGGTGCCAAGCCCAAAAGGAGCACTGAGCTAATACAGAAAAGAACAAGAAGATCAGTAAATAAATGAATCTTTTAAAATTAATAATCTCTGTCACAGAGGCTACAAACTCTATCCCGGTCATCTACATGCTGTTCTGTAAGAACTTTAATGGAACAGTTCACCTTAAAGCAGGATTTTAAACTTCTAAGGCATTGAGGCTATGTTTTCCTTCTGTCTCCATATTGTTACACAACTGTCTGGATTGGCATTTTTTTTGTAGAATATAAGACTTCTAACAACCAGCCAGCATGATTGAACATATCAACATCACCAACAGGAATGCAGAAAGCTGCGCCGCCTTAGTACAGTTATTTCCATACCAAGTGTTTCATCTACTGAAGGTGGTATTTCATTTTCAGGAATTTCATAAAATGGCATGTTGTCCTAGAATTCATGAGAACTGACTAATAGACTAGTGCCCACACTCCCAAACAGCAATTTTTGGAAGTAGTGATTTAAATCTAGGTTGTTTACATTCCTTGCCAAGCAGCCTCAAAGTATCAAGATATTTATGTGAAATTTTCTCATTATCATGATCATTTAAGGTGTAAAACAAAATCAAACGTTAACACTTTTTAAGAATTTTTTTTAATGTCTGACTGTATTCCAGGTAGAAAGAAACAGTTTGAAGATTAATAACTGTCCTAAAAAGTATTCAGGAAATTTCATGCATTTCAGACATCAAAGACTTAGTTGTAATTACTCTGCAATGAAGTGGTGACTGAATCCTCCTGTCTCAGGCACCCATCAAGTCTAGAAGAGTATTTATATCCTAAGCCGTGAAGACTGTGAGAAGCAGTTCATAGCAATTAAGAGAGGTAATGGTAAGATTTTTTGTTTGAAAAACTATTATCATAATATCCATTACCGAGTTTCCTTTTGGTAATAAAAGTGACAGAAAATATAGTAATTATATTCCTTTACCCTTAGACACTTGGTTTTGGTGACACAGTGGGCTATAAAGTGGGCTTATTTTGAATACTAGTGGAGATATTCTAGGTATCAGCTGATATAACAATAATCTTTAGTAGAGTCACAGAGTTTCGTAACAGTGGAGGGTCTTTCCAAGCATATAAAACTCTGTGTATAAAAACAAGACCATGACTGCACTCAAAAGGTTGGAGATATTCTTGATTTTCATTATTTAAGTAGAGTAAAATGGGTCTCACTGTGATTTCTGAAATAGTTGCAGTGTTTGGTCTTGTTTTTCATAGGTAGCGATATTACTTGTCCTCTGATTTTCTTAGAATTTGACACTGTTGTCTTTAGTGGTTCATATTCATATGGAATGAAAGAAATTAACTTCATTTCTGTTCACGGCAAGAAAGACAAGTCTACAAAACTACAAATCTTTTGCATGACTTTTTCATCTACAGAGACAATTTACAAGATGGATTTTATACCTTCTTTATGGTGTAGCCTCTATCAAACTGAAATCCGCAGTTTCCTTGGAAACGAAATTTCATGTTATTTATGACTTTCAAGTCAGAAAGATTCTTACTCTTTTCTCAGCCATGCTGTTTTCTGCCTCTGGAGGCAAACGTGACTCTGATATGACATTAAAGATCCAAATGCAACAGAAAACAAGATAATGAAAATGAAAACATTAGTTGACATCTGTCAAAAATTTAAGTTACCTGAAGGTTCATGAAGTTGGTTTTTTTTTGTTTTTTTTTTTTTGTTTTGTTTTTTGTTTTAATTATATGACACAGTATCCGTAGCGTGGATTCAATAGTGAATAGACAAGTAATGTGGACTAGAACACAGAAAACCAGATTCTGTCCCTACCAGACTGCTAGCAAATAAAGTTATTTCTCACAAAAACTTATGAAAGTTTTTACCCAAAGCTTGCCACTGAGAGGTTGGATGGCTGAAATTTTTCAGAAAACTAAAAATGGCTTACAATGACAATTTGTAATCTTTTTGAAGACGGTAAAAGAAATTCTAATTTACCAAAACTATTAGTAATGAAACGTCATCATTTACATAACATACAATTTCCTGGAAATCATTGGACCTTTGCCAATCCCTTCCTTATTCTGGAAGACTTTGAACTCATCTTTTTATTTTGTAGGATATTTGTATAATCAATAAATATTAAAACATTACAATTATGAAATAAACAAGAAAGCTTGACAAAGCAGACTATGATAACAAAAAGAGAATAAATAGAAAGCTTACCCCTATCCTGGGCTCACTCACAAAACACCAGCAGAGACGATTTCCAGAAGAGATCCTTCCCCACTGGTAGCCAGCTCTTAAATAGGTCTAGGAGGCAGCACAGGTGAATTGCCTTCACCTGTGTTCCTCTGGCTGACTCATTGCTCACCTCAGGTGATCAATCAGAGGCTCAGGCCGTGACTCAGCAGTTCCAATACAAATACTACATAACATTTTGATGTAGATGGCTTTCATCTACTTTTACTGATTCCTTTCTATTTTACATGGAATACTTGTGTATTAAAAAGGGTTGGTTGGGGTTTTTTGTTTTCTCTCTATGTTGAATGAAACACACTTCTCAATATAGACAAAAAGGATATTCTTAATATTTTGACCCAAATGAACATTTTTTTAGCCATTAGTAATGCTTTATTTCCTCCTTCAGACTTCCATCAGAAAATATTATTCATGCATTTCCTCACCTTCTTATCTTTAGTATGCTCTTAAACAATTCTTCCTTTTGTTTGCTATTTGCCTGTATATTCTATTTGTGTTTATTTGTAACCTTCCAGGAGTGGAATATATTTGTATTTAATTAGAGAAGTTTAGCAGTCTTGTCTCAGGGCAGCTAGACACTATTATAACATGAATAGAGAAATCCAGAAGCTATGAAAAATGGATTATGGATTCACTAAGAAATTTCACTAGGACTGATGATACACACCAACACATTAAAATATGCAGACTGCGCTGAAATAGTGGGACTGTTGGTATGCAGTATTCATGTACATCTCCACCTATTTTCAATTTCCTGTCCAAATTATTAAAACTTGGTGAAAGGAATACAGAAAGAAAGAAATATAGAAAGAAAATGTGAAAGAGACTTCTCTTGAGAGTTGCATTAATGGGAAAGCCAGAACAACAGTTACAGTTCTGTAATCATGAATAATAAGGCAAGAATCTAAAACAATTTCACAGTTGTCCACCTGCCCTTTCACAAAAATGCTCCTTCATAGGGACTCTTTCTTTTTTCACCTTTCTATTCTGCAGCATTATTATTGGCTGTTTTTCTGTTAATTGTTTAATAACTGTTACCTTTATTAAATATTTTCCTCTTATATCAAAATCATTAATTATGGTATATTCTGGGACACACAAGATCAATAAATAATTAAAATACAGCTCTTCTCAGACCTGTCAGAACTTGGAAAGAGTATACACAATAAATTTGATTTTTTGAGTTTGTGTTAGGTTTGGTTTTTTTTTTTTTTTTGTTGTTTGTTTGTTTGTTTGTTTTTTTATTTAAGTTGCTCTACATACATTTTCTAGCAGTTTTTGAAAGTTCATACGAATATTGAAAAGAAGCTCATATTCAGAGACATTACTGAAATAAATGCAATTTTTTGCTTGAAAAATTGCTGCACTAATGTACACCAGAGAGGAAATAAAAATGTAAGAATTTGTATTTTTACCTGTTCTATATTAATCTTAAAATGTGAACTCTTGACTCAACTTTAGAATAATTTCGTAGTAGAGAATCTGAGTAGATATTACCAGTGTTTAACAACTTGGCACATTGGATTCTGAAGTTGAAGATCCTGTGACGTGAGCAAGTACACTGTTTAATCAAATGAGTAAGCATATGGATGCAGTTGTGTCTGTGTGCACATGTCCAGATTCTTTCTATGGGATGTTACATACCATCAAAATAATCTGGTTTTTTTTTTAGAAGCAAAACTATAGTAGCTGGCTCTGTCGGTGTCAGAGGACAGCATAAATGAGCCAGGAATAAGTGAATGTCAACACTTAATGGAGCTGCATAAACAAAGATTGAAGATAGAAGTATGAACGCATTTCTTCAAAGTCTAAGTAAACAAAATACATAGTAATGACAAAATAATTACATTGCGGGGCAACGTTTACTGTGCTTAAATATCTAGTTTTTAACATTATAAGGATGGAAACATTTCAGTGATATAAGAATTATACAAATGGATGAAAAATGAAAAATCGAAGTAATAAACTGCAATTTCTAACATCTGCACATGAGAGAGTAAAATGATGCAAAGAAATTTACTTAGCAAACATCTAGCATATATCTTGAAAGACTAAACATTAAGAATAATTTCAAGTCTGTAGTCATTTACTATCTTCCTAGAAACTTTAAACTTCACAAGCTCAGCTGGAAATCATATGGATCAAGCAGGCAACTACTTCTGACAGTCCTTCATTTCCTTTAAAATGAGAAAAGCTGTCACAGACTTGCATGGCTCATTTGAAATTCAGTGTTTCTCTGCCTTCATACTATGGTGTACTGTATCTAGAACATCTTTTTATAAAGCCATACAAGACACCTACAGAACTACTAGAGGTATTATAAAGAGACATCTTGTTGTTGTTCCTCTGCCATAAGATACACACTATGAATGTAAGGTTAGGCCTTTAAGACTTCCCCTGGTTATTCTTTCTTATACTTACATCTACCTGCCTCATTCTGCATACAATCTCTGTTGCATTAGTAATTCAGTCATGCTCACCATGTCTTATGAATGTTCTCTCCAAGCATTCTTAATTGCTGCTGGGTGCAAAGGTGGAGGTATGAATAAGGATGTAATTAGGAAAAGTAGCTATTGGTCACACACACATACATACACACAACCCTCCCCCCCTCTCCTCTTGTCCCCCTAAACACACACACAAAAAAAACCAAAAACAAGTAGGAAAATAGAGAAAAGTTTAGAGGTGGAAATCTAGTTTTAAAATATATTTAATTTCCACCAGTTAGATTAAGAGCATGCTAATATAAAACTAATTTGAAAGTATTGCTTGCAAAGAAAAAAAGAACAAAACAGGATGTAGTTGAAACAACACAAGATGTAGTTGAAACAACACAAATACATAAAAATATACACTCATCTTTCAAAGTGGATGAGTAAAATAATTTGTTTCATTGCAACTACAGCTCTCTGTAGCAGTGTTATGAATCATGCTGTTTTTATCTAACGGAGAATCCTAAATAACGTATCTTTGCTTCTAGCACATCAGAGACTTTTCCCAGTTGTCACTAGCAGGCACCTATTCCTCTCCTATTCTTCTTTCTCATTGCCAATTGCTAAAAGGGCTTGTATACATTTTGTAGAGTCTATTACTATCAGAGAGCAAGGAAAAATGAGTGTTTTTCCTCCTGACATGTCAAGGTCTCCCAGTATTACAAAGTTGTGTTTATATCTTTGCTAAAGACGTGTGCAGGGCTTTAAAACTTTTCACTTCTTGGTAGTCTTCCAAGACTTTTCTGCAGAGTGAACTTTTCTCCTTTCTGCATAGAAAAAAAAGAATATATATATATATATTCTTTATATCTCTATATATCTTTATTTATATATATATATATTAACCTTTGTACTCATTGTTTGTGTTTTTACCTGCTTTATTTTATTATCTTCCTCCGCAATTGTTGTTTAGAGGTGATTTAAACCTCTAAGTAAAATAAATGTGTACAGGTGATTGTTAACTCTTCATTGAGAGCAGAGCAAACGGTAAACTGTTCTACATGCTTTCTGCAAACTAGAAAGGGTGAAAAAGCACAAAATACAGTGCCTTTTATATAAGCAAAAGCAGGTAACCTGTGTAACTATCCTGAGATTAGAGTGTATTCACAGAGAATTGTATAGGTCATAGTTTATGCATGTCTCAGGTGCATTTAGTGTAACCTCCCCTACAAAAACAAGTATGTATATGGATTATTTGTCACATATGCCTTTATCTTCAGGCAAGTACAGAACTAGATGTTAGACAGCTTAGGAATAGCAGCAAAAATATTGTAAGATGTTTTGCACTGTGACATCACAACAGGTAACAGTTAATTAGATGAACTCTAGAGAACAAGCACTAGTAAATTGGAACTTCTGGCAGACATTTGACAAGGCACAAAGTGGCCAATACCCACATCTGATCAAGGAGATCATTGTATGATTTTTGCGCACACTTTGAGCACTTGAAGCTGAGTCCCAGCCAGCCAGTTCTCAAACTCTGTACTTATCTTTTGAAACATTTTTACTGGCATGTAAGATGTGATGAGAAGTAGGACTTCCTACACTGGTGTAGATCACTAATGTTAAAAACCCATCCCAAATCTAGAAAGTATCTACACAAAACAGAAAGAAAAGAAATATTCTGTTCACAGAATGAGGCAGATGTATGTCCATGAGAATTCAAAAGAGGGGCACTGAGTACCACTATAGGGAAGTGGCAGCAGCTGGTCCAGGGTTGCAGGCTTAAGTAGATAGGTCAATACATAAGAAGTCAGTAAACTTATGCAAGCAAGGAGTGCAGAAATCAGGAAATCATTGACAGCTTTTTCTGTCCTTTATGTCCTTTTCTGTACATAACACTGTTATTAAAGAACATTACTTCAGAGCACGCACTTGCTTCGAGGTAGTTACATTCATAATGAGAAATAAAGCAAGGTCAGAGAGCAAGACAAAGCATAGGACAAAGCTTTTCACTCTGTTAGTTGTTACCATACTTTTTGACTCCAAGACAACGATTTCCATTTAAAAATTATGGGAAATACAACACTGGTCTCTTTTCCTTTTAGATTGGAGGCATCTGTATTATTCCAGCAGAGCTTCCAGCCTCAGATCCCACACAGGCTCAGACAACCCCTCAGAAAATTATTTGTGGCAAGTAAATATCACTCTGTGGTACTGAAACACAGCTTTCACATTCATGTTGGGCACTCTGAACTGAAAATGCCCACCCCGTAGTTAAAGGATAGCTAAGTCTCCCATTGAGACATGTGGACACTACATGGAGCCCATAGAAAGACAGAAAAAAATTGATATGCCATTAATTCAGCCATCTTCACACAAGGCTTGAAAACATTCAAATTGTGTTTTAAAGAATGTTAGTTTATAAAAGTCAAAGTTAGCTCCAGCAATACTTCATTATGTAACAGACTGGGAGACAGGGATATGGAAGTACAGAATCCAAACAAACAACATAGAAACCAAACTACTACTACTACTACTATCTCTACTACTACCAATAATAATAATAATAATAATAATATAA